GCTGTGTTAAGCTCCCAGTCGGGGAAAACCCCCGATTTAGATCGGAGCGGCCACGACGATCCACCGTAACACACCACACACTGCAGGATGATCGGTTACAAAATCAGCAGCGACAATCTTAGATCAGCCAACGATCTAAGATTGTGATAAGGAGAAAATAGGGGCAAAAAAATCGTGTAGTCTACTGCATTAGGTAGTCGGATGTGCCCATCTTCTCTATTTAAATCTACTGATTACTGAAGGCCAATATAGTACACACTTCATAATCTGCACTCTTTTGGTTGAATGCAATATTTATTTCCACTTTGGCTTTATGTTGTTTAGTTTTATTCAAGTACGTTTTTTGTTAATGGAGACTGAGAATCAATTTTATTTTTGTTTTTGGTTGTTTTGTTAATTTAGTTTATCAGTTCAAGTGTTATGTGTTCTTTTGAAAATGAAGTGTATCTATCTATGGCAGGAAATTGCATGCATTATTAGTCATTTCCATTAAATCAGCGTCAAAAGGTCTTGAAACAATATTATCGTTTATCGCAATAATTTTTTTAGACAATTAATCGCTTAGCAAAATTTGTTATCGTGACAGGTCTAAGTAAGACCAAAAGTACTTCAGAGGACTCTGTCAGAGATTTTTGCAGCCGGACACTTTGTTGCTGTTGTTGATCTTTCAACAAACGAGTCACCGGTGACATCACAGCATCCCAGGCATGATGGGTGATCAGGTTCTGCTGAGCTTCAGCCGCTGACCTGCCTGTTGAAAGGTTGTCCTAACGAGGCTGCAGTGTAGAGCATCAAACAATGCTATTTAAATGGAGTCACAGTGCAGAGTTGGCAGCGATGAATTACTGCAGTCGCTTTGATGCTCTTTATAGCTTCACCGTGTTGTCAACACGTAGGATCATCCAGAACGGTGACGTCTGGGAGCGTGTATCACTCTGATCGGGTTTTAGGGAAGACGCTGAGAGCATCAGCAGATGACTTTAAACTACTTGTGTTATGTAGCATTGAGCTAAGTGATCAAAGCATGGCTAAAGCTTTAGAAATGGATCAGAAGGTCAAGGATTAATGCTAAAGCAGGGTGTCCAAAGCACGGCCCGGGGGCCATTTGTGGCCCTCTGAATGCTGGAATTAATTAAATCTCATCTGCAATAATCCAAGAAGAACAACAAAAATGTAGTAAGCAAAAACAGTAAGCAGTTTAGGGGAAAAAAGGAGTTACCCACATCCATTTATGTTAGGCTAAAACATATTCTAACCCTCAAAAATTAGGTAACTATATTACTGTCATATTAACTGAGTTTATTTCAATAAAATCATGCATATTTAGTTTTGAAAACTAAATATGTACAATTTAGTTTATCATGCTTATGATAAACTTATCATATGCAACATGTTACTTTCTTAACCCTAATAATACAATAAATCATGTTAGTGGTGTGAACCTTTTCATAAATCACAGTTTTATTTTTTGTGCCCTTTTCACAAATTAATTAATTTGCAAACTTTAAGAAAATATATTTTTCATCATTTCCTTTGCTCCCGTTCAGTTTTATAACTTACTATGTTTGTTTTTTTTACAAATACTGGAAAATCTTTAAACCACCCAGAATTTATTTTGTCTCGATCAGCAGCTCTACTGTCTTTCTGATTTTCCGTTTTAAATTTAGTTAGGTCAGAGTGTTTTAACAAACAAAAAAACCTTTGTACTAGTCCAATACTTGTTTATATACAAGTTAGCAATGTACCTAATATTTCCCGTAATCCTGCATGATTAAAAGCCCTAATTTTATTAAAATAAATGCGCAAAATTACGGTTTCTTCCTTGAAATTACATTTGTGGCCGCTCAGTTTGCAGCTGGAAAAATAACCTTGGTGAAGTTTCAGTGACAGCGAGTTTGGACTCCGGAAGCCGCTGATTGACACATCTGTCTGCCCACTCTGGTTCACTGGCTGCGGTTGGCCTGGAGGCATCTGGCTTTAGGCCATCTCTAGATTACAAAAACAACAACGCCGCACCGGATATCCGAAGCGCTACGAGCTCATTAAGGCATCCTTAGGTTGAGGCTGGTAAATAACTCCCAGCCCCAACCCGGAGAGTTTTCTCTGCAAGGCAGTAACTAAAAATATACCCAGCTTGAGATTTAATAACATACTTTATGAATCGGAGCAGCTAAAAAAGATCATCTACGTTTGCTCTTTAGCTAAAAGAAAATGTGCATTTTATGAATAAAAGACACAAAAATGTGAATATGTTTTGCAGCATCTACGCTACAGAATACATTTTATTCCCTCCAGGAATGTAAATAACACTGAAACCTCCTCCTGCGGAACAACCAAACATGGACACCAGCTGTGCTCCTAGAGAGCCTCACTCCAACTACCACTCTGAGGCGATAAACACAACATAATGATGGCATTCACATCAGTGGGGGAGAAGGAAAACAGGATCCTGACCACTTCCAACTAACACACTCAAATTAAGACCACTGATGACCTCAGAGGCCAAGTAGGCTAGGAAACCAAGCTGCTTCTCTTTAGGAGATAAAACAATTACTGGAGGGGAAATATGAAAATGAAACCTTTGTTCTGTCGTTTAATACAACTAAAATTAACTCTCTTTTGTCTCAGTGGAGTTGATGAAACCTAGTTTCTCATAAAAGCAGGGCTGGAGTTAGACAGATAAAGATTCCAAGGCTAGAGCCAGTTTTGGTCCCCCATCCAAATAGCTAATTAAAGTACATTAATAGACAATCAGCCAAATGTAATGTAGGAAAATGGTTTGCTATTTAGAGACAAATGTCACGTAAAACTCAGATCTTATAAAGTTTAGCAGTTGTAATTGAAGCTGGTATATTTAAATAAACTATTAAGGTCTAATATTGAGGCATCCTCATTGCAGCTGTTGGGATATTGTCATAAACATAATGTAAACATCTATACATGCGATCAGAAGTGTTGTACAGCAGTGTTTGCATAACTTGGAGAGATATTTCAGTCCCAGCTGTAGGCAGCGCTGGAGGAGTTTAGGAATGTGTGACCACAAGACCTTTTGGCCCAGCCTGCTTGTCTTCCTTCCCTGTCTGGGTCCAAAGACATTGATCCAGACGTCCCCGAGCGTCTGCTTCAGGTCCATTGTGTGACAAACCACAGCCGACAGCCACCCACTCACAAAGGGGAAAATGACAACCTTCGGTAGAGCAGCTGCTCTCTTGGAATGGCTGTAAAAGTGGACAGATTTCATTTTTACCCCACTTCAAAGCGAGAAGGGATTGTTTCCGGCCCAAGTGTGGGCGAGTGGGCAGCTGAGGACGTGTCAAGTTCATGTCAATCAGCCGGTAGAGTCAATGGGCGCATCGGACCCACAGCGCCATCTGCTGGAGACACTGCGTCAAGACGCTGCGACGATCCGCACCCTGACCCCTGTCCAGAGTTCATGTGTGTGACGCCGAGTTAGGAACGTTGGAGATAGAAAAAAAAAGATAAAATTCTGCCGAAACACTCAACAATTTTGAGATTAATCTAAGAAATTTTCTAGTAAAGCTCCAGAAGTTGCAAGAAAAAAAAAAAAAAAAAAAAAAAAAAAATTTTTGGGTTTAAAATGAATTTTTTAAAATGAAAATTTTTGATTTTTTTTTTCTGAGCTTGTAAAGTCGAAAATTTCCAAATTTTCTCCACCGTTTTCAAATGTCCAAGATTTTTCTTGAAGATTTCTGAGATTAATATTAAAATATATGTGTTTCCCCCCCCATTGTTATATGAAATTAGCATTACTTGAACTGTTTTTGTTCCCACAGTTCTTTAACAAGAATGCTAGCTAAGAGAGCTTGTCTGGCCTCTTTTTCTCTGTCTTGTTTGTCCAGGATGGAGCCCACCTGTCCAACCCCCAGGGACCCTGCATCCACAGGTAGAGACGGACTCTTCAGTATTATTAAAATTGATGTCTAATATGTCCAAATTTGGTAGAAAATGGACAGGCTTATAATAAAATATACTTAATTTTGTTAGATAACTGTATTTAAACTGTTTAAAGACATGTGACTACATTTTAAGTAATTTATGTTATTTTTAAACTTTGGTTCCCCACACACTTCCACGTGTGAGCTTGTGCAAACTTATGTTTGGCAGCATGGTACTGGAAGTGTGGGATGAGTCATTACTAGGCTTTATTTCTAGGCCAGTGTCTCAACACATCCTCATTTAATTTATTTTAAGTAGTATGAAACAGCAAGAAGACACTGTTGTATATTGTTTTCATTGAGATCTAAAATTATGATTTTAGTGTTAAGTTAATTTGAATAGATGTATTTATTTCATGATTTTAGCTGTGGGAAAAAAAATAGTGGGTAGATTTATCAAGACATTTAGATGGTAAGAAAGCGTTAGTCACAAAATGTTTATAACATTGTGCAGTCTTCCATGTTAGAAAAGCTGGCAGTCCATCTGTATTAAACAACACATTTTGAATAAAAAATTGGATAAGAGAACATTAACAATTGCTTGAAAACAATATATTGTCTTCTGATTAAAGCCATTTTACTCATCAGAAGTCATATTATAACAAGAAGTATCCTGAAGTAAATTAAAAATATGTCCTAGCCTGATACAATGAATATTTTTTTAATACCAAAATACAATTAAAATTTGTTACTTATTTATAGTTTTACGTAGGGTCATCTAAGAAAATACAAAAATTCAGCTCTATGACGGTCTGTGTTGGTCCAGTATTCAGCGGTTATGCAAAGCTGTAGGCACAAATTTACCTTTCCAATATGGCGGCATCGCTGACGTTCAAAAAGATTGTTGATGCCAGCACGTACGTCAAACGCAGCAAAGAAGCATATTCGTCACTTAATTACTATTACTAATAAAAATATAGTTTTATTTCTTTATTAATATTATTTTGTGTATTTATGCAGTTTTGTTTATTTAGAAGAAAAACAAACCGAAAAAAGTAAAATGGTTGAAGGTAGAAACGAATCAGCTCGGGTATTTCGTCATTTTGATCAACAAAACGTCACTTCCGGTGTTATCCGGCGGGCTGGATGAAAGCAGGAAGGACGCGCTACGACTTTACTTAACTAAAGCTGAAATTGTTTTTAATTAGAAAGTAAGAGTAAAGTTTTAAGTAGCCTTAGGCTAGCTTCTTCGGACACATTTAGCATTAGCGTATTGTCACAGCAGTTGTTCGTGTTTATAAACCAGCCGTTAATGTTCCAAGAATAAAAACTAAATTTTGCTTCACATTTACTCTGGACATGGACCGACCATCCAGGTGAGAATACGCTTCTATCACTGTAAATTTATCTTTTATATGCTAATCATTTTAACCGCTGTTGATGATTACGCGTTTGGTGTTAACACAGGAAGACGAAGGTTGTGAACTACTGTGAAAACAAAGATTTTGATGATGGTGAGTTAAGTAATGAGCTTTCTGTGCTGGTTTGCTTGCTTTAGTAAATATTTTTTCGACAATATCCCATCAAACATTTGTCTTATTTAAATAACTGTTTATTAGTGTATTAGTTTGTCTCTGAAAATCTTAAAAATATGCAACCATATAAGGTTTTCAATGGGACCTGAGGAAGAAAATATGATTTTTTTTTTTACTAGTGCTTTACATCGGTGGTAGAAAATGTGTTAGTATATGTTGTTTCTGGATAAACAAAAAAACAACTCTTTATTATAAGCTTCCTTTTCTTAAAGATGTCTGTGTTTCCTGCTCTTATTCTGGGACAGATGAGGATTTCGCCTGTTCGAAAGCACCGCCCAGCAAAAAGGCCAGAGAGGAAACGAAACACGAACAGAAGAAACCTCCAGTCAGGTCGTCCAGCCAAGAGTCAAACCCAACAGCAGCTCAGAGCGACAAGAGCAGGTGGGCTATACAGATCAGGGCAAGAACATCAGTTTTACAGTCTGCTTCTGTGTGTTATCTTCAGATTTATTGGAGCCAGCTAATCCATCGCTACAAAACCTCACAAAAATTTCAACAATAACTTGTTTGCTCCTGTTGTAAGCTGTGATGTGTTTAGTTACATGTTGTGAACATGAATTCATTACTTGTTTCCAGAAAACCGCTGGATGAAAAGTTGTATGAAAGAGATCTTGAAGCAGCCATCACGCTTTCGTTACTCAATAACTCAGACGGATTAAACGATTCTCCCACCAGTAAGGATTAGCTGTTGCATGTAACATGTAGATTTTATGTTTTATAAACTTCTAATTCTGTCTTGTTCCTGTAATTTTCCCAGCGGATGTTAAAGTTCAAAGCCCCATCGATGAAAACACAGATCCAGCTTCTTTGCTTCTGTCCAACTGCAGCGTGAATGGAGCAGTTTTAGGTAAATCTCTCTTTTTTATTCTCTCGCTCCGTCTCTTTTTTTTTAAAACAACATGTCCTTCAGGCCTTGATGAAATCACATCAGAGAAAGCATCACCAGCTGCCAGACAAAAGAAGACCTCGTCTAAAGCAGCTGAGGTGCAGAGAAAGAATGATGAAGATGAAGACTACAAACCTAAACTGACTCCAGGTTATCTGGCGCTCCACCTGTATTCGTATCAACCTGCTTTTGTTGTCGACTCGGCGCGATAACCGCCGTGCCTTTTCAGATTCAGAGAGCGATGAAGACTTCAGTGAGCCCGAGAAGAGCGAGGATGAGGAGTTTACAGTGAAGAAGTCCAGCAAGGCTAAAAGGAAGGAGAAAGTGACCAAGAAAGACAAACCCAAGCCAAGTCCCGCTCCCAGAAAAGAAAAGAAACAATCAAAGTCTTCACTTTCTAAACCACAGGCTGCAGGTAAGTTGGCTTCAGTTCAGCAAGATTCCTGTTAATTTCAGTATTTTCCAGACCTGGAAGGGCCAGGAGAATTAAATTAGAATTTCCTTTTGCTGTTCGTCGTGTTTTCCAGGTTACATATGGAAATTCTGTCCACTATAAAAAATATCTACATCAATTCATGTTAAACTTTTCTATTTTGTACTACAAATTTAAATTGCCTGAATTTAATAGTGATATGTGGTATTATTATAATTGTTAAGTTTTTGATTAAAAAACAGTTTATTACTTTTCTTTTTTTTTGGTAGCTGTATGGCTGTGACTGCTTGTTATTCAGCACCATAAATACAAATATTGTTCTTGAAAAACATTCCTATTTGAAGAACACTCAACAAAAAAAGGGGATTTATATCATCAAACTGCACACAGTGACTGCATTTAATCATATTTTCATATTATTTATATTTATTGATGCCCACAAGCAGTGGAGAAAATTACAAAAAATAACATTAATGTGAGTTTTTTTTTGTTACATCACTAATTGAAATTTATCGAGACGATAATAGAAATTCTTATGAAAAATTCTTCACAATAAATCATGAACAGAATAAATTCCAACCATGTTTGTGAGTGTAAAGAAAAATGTGCATACGTCTTTGCTTTAGAGTTACTCCATGTCTTTATGTTCCAGTAGTTTCCAAAAGTCCCCCAGCAGCCAAACTGGTTCCCAGTAAGCCAGCTTCATTCAGTGTGAAGCCTGTGAGCTCTGTGAGTCCAGCAGGGGGCAGAATACCGAAGTGGAACCCGCCAGGTACAACCCCACCGCATTTTCTGCTGCCTTTTTTTGTTTCCAGACAGTAAACGTAATAAAGATGCGTTTGCTCTCCAGCTCAGGTCGGTAAAAGTCCGATCTCATCCCAGACGCCGGCTGTGAAGTCTCCCAGCGCCGGGCTGAGACTGGGACTGTCCCGCATGGTCCGGGTCAAACCGCTCCACCCGAGCGTCGCCACTCACTGACAGATAATCTGTCAATGTTTTTAATCCTGTTTGACTTCAGTCTCAGTTGTGATGCTTTTCAGTTTGAATTAGTTCAGAATGAATCTTTTCTTTGTTTAGATTTCCTTATATCCTCTTTTTTTCATCTGTTGTGTTGAAAATATTTTACTCATCTTTATAGTGCCTGTATATTCTGTACATAAACAAAAAAAATAAAGTTTAAAAGCATTTATCTTTTCACGCTGGATTGTTTTTGTAGATGCATATCATAAATACTTCAAAAACATTTTTATATGTTTCAAGTGACGAAGATGATTCAAATTCAAAAATACCCAAAGGAAAATTAAATGTAACTTATATTAATTCAAAATTCCTCAAAGAGTTATTAGATAAATGTGTTTTAAGAGCTTTTATTTTAAATTTTCTTATTTTTTATTATGAAATGTAGATATGCTAGTTTGGTAAACAATAAGTAGTTTGTGTAAATATGGAGTAAAGAATTTATATATGCTGTTGATGTCAGCATCTGATGGTAAAATTATTGTCTATTGTAGAGAAAACTAACTTTATTTTACTCATCACCCATTTATTTACTCAGAAATTTCTTCTTATTTTAATCTTTGTTCTGATTTTTCCTTTATATTCAATCTACATGAACATCTTTTCAGTCATGAAGAAGGTTGAATGTTTATACAAATCTTCACCTTGATTCTGATTGTTTGATTTTAAAACATTTGTCATTTTGATATTTCATAGCAGGACGCCTCAAGGAAAACATGGCATGGATCAGGAAAAAAAAATTTATTCAATTGAACAAAATTATGCTTTGAAGCCAAATGAAGCTTTAAGTGAATTAAATAACACCTGTTTTTAGTGAGTTTGTTTAATATATTCACTAAAACAACAGAAGTAAAATGATATTTGAGTTTTCCTTTCACTCCTGCTCCGCGTTTCCCCACAGATTTTGCTGGTGGAGTTGATGGTGAACACCCTGCAGGTGTGAAGGAAGGAAAACACAAACTGTGTAAAGAGTGAGACTGAAACAAGATAATCTGCCCAGCAGATTAAAATCTATATTTTCAGATTCGCTGATGTGGGTGAAGATTATCCAGCTTGAAGAAAACTTTCTGCCTCTTGTTTTAAGAGCAGAAACGTCTCGGCGTCTGCAGCAGGATGAGATCCGCCTGGGTCAGAGCTTCGCTGATGCTCTTCGTTGTGGCTTCAGCTCTGGTTTACCTGAGCTCCATAAAAACAGAGTTTCAATCCCACTCAGAGAGGCTGCAGAGAGCCCAGCATGACGACTCCATCCGGGAACAGGGGATGATCCGCAGGATGGACAGGATGGAAGAGGACATCAACAGGCTGTGTGAGTACACCTCTCAGATTTGAGTTGATTTTAGAAAATAAATGTCTTTCTTGTGGGTTTATTTGAACGTCTATGCTGATTCTTAAACAAACCAAGACTTGTCAGCACTCTCACCTCTTCAGATTGTTTCTCTTTTCTTACTATTCCATGATCTGTATGTTATTCTGCACTTAACTGGTTCTGCATACTTTAGCAGCAGTTCTGCTGCGATATTGTTTGGTAATTTCACCATTTTCACTGAAAAACACAAAATTTTACCAAGTATTTTTGGTCTAGTTTCTAGTGCAAATATCTTAGTACACTTAAAATAAAACAAAACCAACTTATATGTAACTTTTCAGCAGGATATAGGTAACTGTTTTGATAAAATAATTATTTAACATTGATTTTTAAGTTAGATAATCTGCCAGTGGAACTTGCACTTTTTAAAATCAATGTTAAGGATTTATTTACTTAAAACAAGCTCCTATATCTCGCTGAAAAGTTATTTGAAAATTAGCTTCTATCTTACTTCAAGTATACTAAACTATTTGCACAATTTTTAAGATTTTTGAACATTTATGCAAATTTTGACTCCATTTTATATCTTCAGAATTTCACAAAATTCAGCAAAATCTTTGTGCTCGTTCACAGCAAACTACAACGTACTTTTAGGAAGAAACTCAGTTCAACTTATGAACAGGTTTCAAGCCATTAAGCTATTTTAAAATGATTTAGCTTTTTGATATCTGCTTTTTTAAAGTTTTGTCTGTGTTTAGTGTTATAATGTAATCTAATGTTGAAATTCTTAAAATGCCACAGTGTGGATTTTAGTTAATATCTAACTAAACTCCTGCATGACTTAAAGTCAACATCACTTGTTAGATATGTATTTATTATCATAATATCAACTGTTTTGAATGTTGATTTTATGTGCTGCTGTTTGCAGTTCAGGGAGGGGCAAGTAAAACAAACTAAAGACTCGGCGCTTTTGTCCACAGTGGACCTGATGAAAAAGTCTGAAAAGAAGGAGCAGGAGGAAGAGAAAGGGGTCAAAGTGAAGGAGAAGAAGCTGGTGAAGAAGTTGTACCCGAACTCCAGTCTGTTCAGAAAGTGGGGCGACGATCTGTCGGAGGAGGAGCAGAAGGAGGCCGAGGATTTGTTCCAGCGATACGGATACAACGCCTTCCTGAGTGACCGGCTGCCGCTCAACCGGGACATTCCTGACACCAGGCCGCCGAGGTGAGCTGCTCTTCCTCCTCCTGCAGAATCTGGTGAAAGCTGGCACACCTTTTCCACACACACAGGTGTCATCACAGGGAGTTTCCCATCTCTGAAAAGTCAATTTGCCATAAGCAACCAAGATTCTTATTTGCTTTTGGAACAGGTTTAGACTTTATTGACATCATTCCTGCTTGTTGTTTTGAAACTGCACAACAGGGATCTATGTCTTAGCCTGTATTCTCTTAAAAAAGTTTTTGGGGGTATTTTCCTGGTGGAATAAAGGTCAATAATAATAATAATAATAATATTGAGCTAACACAGGTAATAGTTGCACTAAGAACAATTTTAAATGCTGCATAAATTCAAGAATACATTAGTTTTAAAAAATTGGAGTGGCTTGTCAAACTTTTAGCATTACACAAGTGTTAGAGCTGACTAAGCTTGGCTTTTTTTCTGTTATATCAGGAGTATCTTTTTCTTTCTTTTTACATTTAATTCCAAAACTAACTAAACCAAAAGGTGATGTCATTGTTTTGCATGTTATTGATAGTTTTTGATTGATAGATTCTTAGTTATTAAGTTACTGTACTTTAAGGAAACACCTCAAACATTCTGCTTTATTTGACATCATGGAGAAAAAAAAATTCAACTGATATATAGAAACAGTCTTTTGAACACCGGTTCAAACCGTATTGTTAGACAGTTTTCTCAATCAATCAAATTTTATTTGTATAGCACATTTCAACATCAAGGCATTTCAAAATGCTTTACATAATTAAAATGCAAACAGCATGTGACATAGAATAAACAGTGAGAAAAAGAGATTTTGAAAAA